GAAAAATAATGGGCACAAGACAACATTTACAACTGACTGTAATATGTAAATAAATCAACATTTGAACTTATAATAAACATTAGCCAGCAGAACCCCGTTAACCTCCTGGCCCAAACCCCTGGGGGAACTCCAGAAGCCTGAATTAACTAACCACCATCTGATGCCTGTAGAACTAATACCCAAATGAATAAACCAGCTAAGCTTAACATGATGTTCTGATTCATGCATCTCCTAGAAACACGTTTCCCACTTTTTAGCCTAATCCATTCTTTTTCAAACTTGGCCAATTTAAGGTGTGTGGACTTCAACCCCCAGACCTAAAAGTGGCCACATTTGAAAAACACTGGCCTAACCGGGCACACAGTGTGAATGCTGCACCTCAGACCCTGCTGCACCTCCATCTGTGCAACATTTTCCCTATTTGCTTGCCGGCAGAGCCAGTCTGAGGTAGTGGTGAAAGGCTGGAAACCAGGAAACCGAGTTCCAGCCCTTGCACACCTTGCACACGAGTCCTTGCACACGGAGTTCCAGCCTTGCACACAAAGCCAGCAGGAGGGACCGGGTTGGTCCCTTCTCTCAGCCTGGGAAGGAGGAGGCAAGGACAACCCCCTTCTGAAGATGCTCCCAAGAAACCTGCAGGAAGTTCTCCAGGAGTCAAGACTGACTTGGAGGCACAACTCGGTGTGTTTGGTGAAGCCAGCCCTCCCGCTCCCCCCATGCAGAGGGTTCCCCCAGGAGATGGAGGGTAAATGGCTCCCTCCATTCTGGCGATCCTGATTTTTTTCTCCCAGGGATAATGTGGCGGGTCTGGAGCTTTGCTTTCTCCCTGCCTGGCCCCTGCATGCAAAGGACTTCCCAGGACTCCGAACCTGGATGAAGACTTTGCAGGTCTCCATGCGCGCCTCCAGCGCGAGATCCCTTTGCCCAAGAAGAGCCCCCACTCATTGAACTCTGGAGTCCTGGATCGCCATCCCTGCAAGAATTCCCGGCAGCCTCTTGGTCTCCCAGAAAGGCTCAGCCTAAGGCTCACAGTGAGGGCCTTCCAATGGCTGCCGAGGGAGCGTTGTCCCAAGAAATGATGGGCTCATTGAACCTGGTATGCAAGAGCCAAAAAGCACACCAGCAGTAGAGATTGGAAAGACTTTATTTGCGCAAAGGGTGCAAGGGGAAAATGTCCCAAAGCGAGCACACATATTGCTTTGGTGGGCATCCTTTTATATATTCCTACAAGGAAGCTTCAACCAAAAAACAAAGTCATCCACAACAGTTCAGCTGGATGTCATACTCCCTGGAGGTCCTCATGTAAGCCATTAGTAGCTCATCAGTTAAACTGGGACTTGGTAGACAAAAATTCACAGCCTTCTGTTTCCATATCTAAAGCATTCTGTTCGTACATCCTGGCTATGTGTCAAGTCTACTGTTTGATGAACAGTATATGAATAAATAGCTTCAAATCAGCATGAGCCTCTGACATCCTGAAGTATGCCCCCCATCCAAATCCTTCCAAATATTTTCATGTGTAATTTTTTAATGCAACCAATGATGAAAAGAATTTAATACATGTCTGGAAAGTAACACCATTGATATTTAATTAATTTTATTTCAATCCAATTTAGACTTTTTCCTATTGTTCATCACAGCATAGAAAGGCAAAATATGGCCCTTATTCTTGAAAAAAGTATTTTGTACATGCATTTTGGGTGCTTTTCTGCCTCCGTTTGTGAGTGAGGAATTCTTCAACCTGAAGCTCTTTCCACACATTCTACGTATGTGACGATTCTCTCACATAATGAGGTCTTTGACTGAAAAAGGTTCCCTGCTTCTGCATCCATACTAGTTGACTCAGGTCTCAGTTCTACACCGTGGATGCAAGTCTGATTATTTTTTGTTATCTTCACAACCCAGAGGCAGTTTCCCTTCTCATTTCAGTGTGTTTGGTTGGGAGGAACTACTAAATTCCAGTACATTCAGAAGCTGAAGATGTCTGCTCCAAATTTTTGAAGTAGTTTTTCTTAATTTCATATTATTTTATTTTGGTCCCCACTGATTTCCAAAGGTCTTCCTTCTTGCTTGATCATTTGCAATGTCAGCACACTGGAGTCGTTTTCATCTTCATTCTCCTGAGTATCCCTAACTTGGGAGGAAAAGAGAAAGAGAGAAAGAGAGAAAGAGAGAAAGAGAGAAAGAGAGAAA